ATTCCATGCAGCATAGAACTTTTGACTGATCTATTTTTGTGTCATGAGCGAAGAAAATGTCACTACTTTAGTAAATAACCTTGCACACATTTAGATTATTGTTTATTTATCCTATTAAGTTTTTTCCTTTTCAGGGTGCTACTTATAGATAAGCAAGCAATGGAATTTTTGTTTCAGGGAATGAATGAAGACACATCTGACTGTCCTTTTGATGCAAGTGACATTCAGAGATTGTCCATTTCTGAGGAATATCAACAAGCCCACAAGCTTTTCATTTTCTTCAGTGAATTTCCCTGTTCCTGTAATTTGTTCTTTGCCCCCTTTGCTCCTCCATCTGGATGATCAGTATCAGTTTTGTCTTTTCTCTTTGGTTTTTGCATGATATGTTTATTCGATTTCTTTTCTTCAGGTTCGAGGAGCCAAAGGTCCAATTTTTGAAGATGGGCCAAACTTTGGCACCGCATTTAAACTCTTTCATGGGAAGGACGGGGTTGTGCCACTGTCAGGTAGGTCAAATATTTGTACTGAAAAACCAGAGTCTGTGCCTGTACCGCCGTTCAACCCCCTGGCAGCACACACTGCAACCATTAGTTTGGCAGCTTTTGGTCCTGAAGGACCATTTGGCTTTTATTTCTTTCGCGACAAGTGGAAGAAACAGCAACAGAAATCCAAGCCATCTAACAAGAGAGAACCTTCTTCTAAGGTACTGATACTTTCTTTTACAAGAAGTTACCTTGAAAAGAAAGTGAGTTTTTCTTCATGAGAAATGAGATGTAGTAAAACGAATCAATAAGAGCATGTTGAGAAAGAATGCACTTATAGGCATGCATTGGGCATTCATGGACAATAAGAAATAATCAACAGGAAATAGTCTTGCCTAGGTAATTAACCAACTAGAAGCTCTTTCAAATTACCATTGATATATAATTGAATATTGCAGATAATGTGAATTTGGTTTTGTCATGTACATATGAATGGTTAAGAAATTATAGAAAAACTTAGACTTCACTCTGTTTTGTTCTCTAGACTGGAAATTCCTCAAAGCATGAAGCGCTAGGAAATGAGTGGTTAGAAAGTGGAAACTGCCCAATTGCAAAGTCTTACAGAGCTGTGAGCCATGTCCTCCCCCTTGTGGTAACAGCTCTTCAGCCACCACCTGGCCTGAAGCTTAGATGCCCACCTGCTGTTGTTGCTGCAAGGGCGGCCCTGGCTCGGACTGCCCTGGTTAAGACCTTGCGCCCTCAGCCACTACCTGCAAAAATGTTAGTGATTGCTCTCTTGGGGATGGCTGTTAACGTGCCTTTAGGCATGTGGAAGGAGCACACTCCAAAGTTTTCAGTATCATGGTTTGCAGCAGTGCATGCGGCTGTGCCGTTCATAGTGATGCTAAGGAAGTCTATCATTATGCCCAAAACAGCTATAGCTTTGACAATTGGAGCTTCCATCTTAGGACAGGTTATCGGATCAAGAGCTGAGCAGCATCGGCTCAAAGCAGCGGCTGATAAGAAGGTGCCAGCTGAGACAACAATTGATTGTGGTGCTGCAAAGCAGGAAAATGACATTCCAGGTTTTAACTGTGGTACACAGGGAATGATGTGGGATCAACTTCCTGCCAAGGTTAGTCGACCTGCTTCTTCGTCAACCAATGTCTGCTTTTGAATCAAAGGTTCGGAGGCTGAAATAAGAAATAGACTGTAATCATCTCTAAGATCAGATCTTTACTCCATAAAATATGAGCATTCATATTTTATAGATATCGAATAACTGTCCAAATGCATTTCTTACATTAGAATGAACAAAAGGATGTTTAGCTTATTTTATAAGAATTTATAACATTATTCAACTTATAAGCTCTCAAAAAATGAAAAAGCTGATAGTTTTTTTTTTTTTTTTTTAAACATAAATTATTAAATTAATTTCTGGAATTTGTCACTTGTTAATCTTTATATTTTTTTATGGTAATTTAATCTTTAACTTTTTAATTTAGTTCAAATATCAAATTTATTCTATTCTTTAACAGAAAAAACTTAAATTATGAGGTCATGTTCTCATTGTTATCAATTTATTAATTTAATTAATTAGTTAAAGTTATTTTTGTTGTGTTTGTCTTTTGAAACTTCAAAACATATTTTTATAATTTTAGTTTTTTTTATTGTAAAATATAAAAAAAAAAATTAAGTATTTGAAATAAATATTAAGGATTAAATTGTAATAAAAAAAATTAAAAATTAAATTATAATAAATATTAAATTTTAAAGAGTAGTAAATAAGCTTTTAAAATGATATCTGATGTGTTTGAGCCAGTGAAAATGATAAATTTGTAATTCATAAAATTGTGATTTATATTTTAAAACATAAACTAAATGTTTTTACTCTTTTTCTTCTACGAGAAATATATTATGTTAGATTTTGGTGGACAACCTAAAAAACTTCTTATACCTTTTTAACCTCTGAAATGTTTACCAAACCCGTAAAAATTTAAAATTACTGAAAAGCAAAATATTAGTTATTGATACGTAAAAAAATTATAAAAGAATTAGTTTCTTTTTAATGATGAAGTACTTTGCACCCAGGCAAACAGAAAAAAAAAAAAAAAAAAAAAGTGTTTTTAATAAAATTAAATACAAATAAAAAATACATTATTTTTAAAAAATTAATTACGCTTTTAACATCTCCTCTTCAATATTCCCTTAGTGTATTTATATTATATAATTTCTAATGTCTGTTATAATAACAATTCAATTGAATTCCATTAAATATTAACTATTTATTCCCACAAAGAAGAGATTTCATTTTCAAACAAATTCCATTTTCTTTTTCATGTGAACTTCATCAGTAAATATAATGATTTCTTCCAAATATTCTGAAGTGCAATTCAGTTAAACCTTGTTCATTACTAAGAACGCCAATGCTGAAACGAAACGAATGTAGCAACATTTAATTTCATATTATTATGCAGAAGGTTCAACTTTCAAGTGACTAAAACCCCAAAAGCATAATATTAAACATCAGTGTAAGATAAAAGAAGGAACCAATGGACGAACCTCCCAATTCTTGCACACAATTTGAACTCATGACACGTGATCCTAACAAAAATTCACAGCTATGCAAGTCTTCACACAGATGAAAATTGCTGTACAAGAGTTTAATAGCCACCGACCTGTTGCCCTGGCGTACCTCCGTATCTTCCCGTTGAGAAAGAGACTCCGGTGCTGCTTCCAGAACCTCCACCAGGAGATACCCTATTTACATAACTACCTCCCATTGATTGTCCCAAACTACTCATACTACTTGGACAATTTGTTGGGTTATGACTGCTACTCCCGCATCGGTTGCAACCCGTGAACCCAGGACTTGCAACACCATGAATCCTAGAACTACCATACTCGTTACCATATTGACCAGCTTGATTTGCAGTTGATCCACCAACAGCGGGTTGCCTTCTTCCCAGGTTTCCAGTATTACTCATTCCAGGATTCAGATTGCTACCATCATCCACCTTCATGGAAAAACAACTAGAATCCCTTTCTTTAAGTTTATTCATCATGTCCAAAAGAAACCTGGTCTCAAACGAATAATTTACCTTCTCCGCTTTCACCACTGTAGCTTTTACACGCTGTTCATCACTGAATGTTTCTTCTTTTATTTTTAGCTTGAATACATATCTCATAAAGACAACCCTACGAATTACTTCTGCATATTTTTCATCATCTTGATTCTCATATTTCAGATAGTATAGATCTTTAGCAGATATCCCCATAATATCTTCACCAGCCTCCTGAAAGGCAGTCACCCACGTTATGCCCGTATGATCCTGTACCTGGAACTGTATTATATACCGATAGTCACATTCATCTACACATTGATCGCACCTGTCACAACGCCACTTTCCATCTCCATTATTGGTAACCTTTTTGTTGCAAGGTCGATCCCCAATCATGATAGGACAAGCTGTATAACAGAAATTGTCAGACTTCATGTATATAATTGTTGCACTGACTGTGATCCAATCTGGCTTCTCGGAAGTCCCTAGCCTCTCATCCTTGATCTGTGATATAGTCTTCCGGGCATCTGCTTTCCCCACACTTGATACTTCCTTTAGAAATAGAGATAGAAGGAGTGCTCCTTCCTTCCTTATCAAACCATTGCTTTAGCTTGTGAGCTTCTGGAAAATCTGGCTCTATAAATAGCTGACTTGTAGAAATTGTCCCCACAGCCTTGCCATTAAAATCATTAACTCTACCTGATTTTACAGCCAGAACTGGGTATACCCCAGAATCACACAAATTTTGTAGCGTTTGTCCCTCAGCATTGCAAAAGTTTCCCCACAGAGTTAATTCAACACTTCGGCCAGATGTGTCCTTCAATTGGAGAATTCTCTTTTGAGTTTCAGTACCATTTTTTCTCATAATTGAAGAAGTAGGACTGATAGATGACACTACACCAATTACATCTACAACACTGTTGTTTTCCATGCCCTCAACATCGCTTATAAGCCGGAAGTGAAAGCGTTGCTGTGGAATTGAGATATTATCCTCAAAGCATGGTTGGACAGTTGATGTGCTTTCTAAATATATTTCAAAATCATTGTTAAGGTGGTTGAAATTTTTTTGAGCAGGTTTGAGACTTCCCTTCGAAAATAAATAAACCTTCCCAGCTTCAATCTGGTTGTAGAATTGATCAGCCACGGCATTAAAACACGTCACCCGTATTTCTCCACCATCAGCATCAAGAAGATCAAAAGAAAACACCTTCCCATCACCACGAGGATTGTTGTAGTGCCTAAGTTCCCCTTTTGATGTTACTCTTGCCTTGATTGTCCACCGGCCCTGGTAGGGATTGAGAGCAGCAATTGGAATTATCCTCGCTGGGGCTTCATTCCTGGCTACTGGCCCTCTGTTAACATACATTGGTTGCACTGCCCGCTGATGGAAGGTGTCAGGAGGACGGTTATAAGTGGTTGGAAGAGGCCGTGATACATCTGGGCCAGGATTCCTGAAACCCATTCTTTGATCACCATACACCCCATGGGGTGGAGCTGATTCGGGAAACCTAGAGCCAAGTTCTGCTTTAGGGTAAGCAAGGGGGGAACTAGTAGGAGGATATCTGCCTGAGTCAGAATTGTTGAGATAATTACTCTGCAATTGGTTTGTTCTTGGCTGCTGTACAGATGACCCACCTGCATTTGGTTTATCAACTAAACCACCAGATAGTGAACTTCCACCAAAAGATTGAGGATTCCCTGTTAGTTTTCCTGGTTGTTCAGTGAAGGCTTGTCCAGGTTCAGCAGGCCTTGGCATAGCTACAGGATTCCCAAGTATGTCATATTTTTCAAGAATTACCACTAGTTCCACAACAATAACAATCCTGACAATTAAACATGAGTACTGGGTCATCAACTTGAATATAATTGAGAACAATTGATGCATGGAAAGAAGATATGAGGTTGTAAAGGGTTTTATCCTAATAAGAACTAGTAATTATTTCCTTCAAGAGGATGAATTATAAAAAGAAAAATCAATTTATTTGACATGATGATTATCCCTCTGAATACAGCTTCAGTGAGATCATAGAGAATCTAATACTAATGTTATAGTTACAGAGAAATAGGCAAGATGAGGAACAGGGTGCCTAATCACAATATACGAGATAGCGATAATTAATAATAATATGCAGTGTAAGTTTAATCAACACCGTGCACCAAACAGACATGACCAAGGATTGGGAGAATTTCATTTTACTGATATCACCAAAAGAATTCAGCACCCAATGATTTCAAAAACCTCTCCAAGCAAAACAATCTGCACCAAACTTCATCAAAGACGATCCCCAAAAAACCGAAGTTAAGACAAGCTTGAATCCAAGGATATAACTGTGACGAAGTTAATTTCAATAGCGACAAATGAAGTAGCTTCTAAAGTATTCGATATTTCGTAAAAACTAAAAACCCACCTTAATAACAATTTCAATAATTTTTCTTGAAGAAAGGAAGCCATAACCAGTTATTGAAATGGATGATTAGTTAAAGGTTACCTGCGGCCTTGTATGACGCTACAGACAAACTGCGTCAACTGAATAACGGAACCAATCTGCAAACTTCCATTTTTGACAAGTTCGTTCTTGCTAGTGCCGAGCATCCCTTGCTGCAGGTTGGTCCCGTCTGATAAGACCAACCTGAATCTCTCCTTAGGTGGTTCCTGCTGTTGTTGCTGTTGAAGCCTGCTCTGAACAAGCTTCAGTTCCGTCACCTGCAACACTGGCGTCATGTCCTTCTCGCTGGCCAGCTCTCCCTTGGCCATTTTCTCCACCGCCCCTTCCGTCAGATTCACAGCCATCGAAAACCGAAGGCAGAAATTTCTTGGAAATCGCTATCCTCAATTGAGAGTAACAGAGAGAAAAGCTTTAATCAGAAAATGTAGATTGCATATGGTTCACCAGAGCGTGAAGAAAAAAGGTTGGGCTTATGGGAAATTTGGTGATTTGATAGGGAAAACTGGGTGATTGGTTGGCGAGAAATTGAGAGAAAATGAGAGGGAATGGTTAGTAATTTGAGGGAAAGTGAAAGAGGCAGAGTTGAAAAGCCCTAGCAGAGAGAAAAGTGAAGCGCCATCATTTGAGAGGTGAACCGCCAAATGTTCTGGAAATTTCGGATTCCCGATTTAACCGGCCTAAGATTTACAAATTTCCGAATGTGTCCCCACAAACCATAGACTTCCCGAGTACGCTTACGGGGCCCCCATTGTCTGTTTTAATATTTTTTGTGGCATCCCTCCTTCCTATATTTTATAGGCTAAAATATCAAATTTTATTATATATTAAAAATTTTGAAAATAAAATAAATAATTTCCTTTGTCTATCATAAAAATTGAATTAATATAAAAGTTGATACAAATATATATATATATTTATTGTCACAAATAGAGGAATGCGACTAATGAAATAAATATGTAAAATTTAAATTTATATTTTGAAATTTTTTCTTCACTCTTTACATATTAAAAATGGGAATTGTATCTTAAACTATTTTACACTAATGTTTTTTATCATATTTGTAGTGAAGTTATACATAATAAAAAAAAGAGTTAATCACATAAACTCAATACTTGAATTATAATTTTTTTTTTTTATAAAAGTGTATGTAAGTGACAAATACTTGATGAGTAAAATCCAGTAAAAATAATTACATGCTATATTAAAATGAATGTGTTGGTCCAACTTCTTTACAAAACTTTGTTTATTTAGGTAAATATCCAAAGCCAATAATTCATATTATAAAACCATCAACACAAAATTTGCATTAGATAAAACAGATAACAAATCTTGCCATAGTAATTTTTCAAATGAAGAAGCTTTAATTCAAATCAATAATATTGCTTAAACCAGATTAATAGCCTAACCCAGCTTCTTAGTCACTTTTTACTTACTACTACGATCCTAAAAGAACTAATCTTCCATTCCATCATCCACCATAATTCCAATCATGAGGAGGAGAAATTACAATAAAAACCAGAAACTTTACACGCAGGAATTTGACAAACACAATCTACAAACTTCCCCTAGGGCTTTGGACTGACCCATTTTTTGGCTTTAGAAAGAAAGAGTTTGGGTTATTTTTGTGTTTAACTTAAGTTTAAATAAGTTGGTGCAAGTGAGTTTAAGTGATGTGTTTGGGGCTTTTAGGTTTCAACATGGAGAAGGGCTCAGATGATGATGATAATAATAATAATATCATTATTAATTTTCTTTCCTCAATTTCCTTTACCTCTATATCATTATTAATACCAAACATGTATTAAAGGGTGAAATTAGTGTAAGGACTACGACATCTATTGTAATACCTGGAATTTAATTTGTAATATTCAAATTAATATATATAATTTAAATTTTATTTTTTTAATTATTATTTAATGTAAAAATGGAGAAAATTAAAATGGATGATGAAATTAAAAATAATTTTGGAAAAAATGAGTGAAAATTTGAGTTTTGGGAGTATTTTTGAAAGAAAATTCAGAAACTGGAGGTCGAAACGTAATTTAAAAAAATTGTGTCACGTAAGATGCCCAGTCAGTAGACCCGACGAACCAGACCGCGCCGCGTGATAAGGGACGCTAACACGGTGCCACTCGAGAGGTCGCGCTGGCGATCCGCGTGCCCGCGATCGGACAGTCCAGATTCGTTCTCGCGCACACAGACGGTTCGGATTCGTTTCCTCCCCAGACACGATCGGATGATCAGATTTAATCGCGATGAACGGTGCAAATTCACTCCCTATTTAATCGAGATCAGACGATCCAAATCAAAAGCGATGGACGATCCAGATTAAAAGGGGACGGATATAAATAACCTTCTTCATACAAAACCCTAACCTTAGCTGCTAGAACTCCCCCTCCCACTGGAGAAGAAGACTCAGCCGCCGAAAAGAAAGCCGACCGCTGCCGCCACACCGGAGCCATTTTCGATCGGCAAAAAGGGTAAAAAAAAATTTCTTTACTTGAAACTCAATTTTAAACACCCCCATGGCCAAATCGGAGCAGAAGAACCAACAGATTGGCCGAAAATCCGAGGCAAGGCCCGATGGTGCCGCCACGAAAAAATATAAAAAATGCCTTCGATGAGGCCTTTCCTAATTCTCATTCTGCGTAATTCTTCTACCATTGTAATCACTGTTTCCTTCTCTACATGTTGACCGAAGCAAAACACTCAACCGCAAGGGTGAATCGGCGGAGCTGCCGCACCGGAGAACTCCATTACCGGTGAGTTTCGATTTTTCAATTTTTTTTTGGCCAACCGAGACCCCTTAACGTATTTTCTCACAGGGATTAATACAAAACCGACCAAATTCGGTCAAAAAGGGCTGAAAATAGCCGACTCGAGGCAAACCGCCATAGTGGGGGCGGTGCCATCGCCGGAGCACGGCGGAGTCGCCGTGCCGGAATTCCAAAATTGACCAAAAAGGGGTCCTAACATTAATTTTGAGTGAGATATTTCTAGGTACTTGAAGCGCATTTTAATTCCCGAAGAAAATTTAGTGAACCCGGGGACCGCAAATAGATGCAGTTAATAAATTTAGCACTTCGGATATTATTTGAGTAGATACTCACTATCTCTATATGGATGAGCTATATATATATGGTATTTTGTGTAATTTAAAAAATATCCCTAATTAATTACAGGTTACTAATGGAGTTAGAACCGGAAGTTATTTTCTGTTGATCTTGTTGATTGATTTTTATAGTTTGAATAGATGAAAATACCTGATTAATTAATTTTATAGTTTGAATGCATATATTGCTTGCTTTATGTGATTACGGTTGAATTGAGAAACTAGAAATTAAAGGTAAACGAAAAATTGTTTGATTAAGTGAATGGATGTAATAGCAGCCTTACTGGATATTTTGGGAGATGGTGAATAGACTGAGTACATAGAAAATCCTACCATGAGTGTTGTCTCATACCGGACGGGGTATCGATATTTGGTAATCTGGCGCTCATACTGGACGAGATATGGGAACGACCTATTTCACCCTCATACTGGATGAGGTATCGATGTTTAGTAATTTGGTGCTCATACCGGATAGGGTATGGGAACGACCCGTTAATTAAAAATGTTAAAGGAAATGGTTCACGCGTAGTGGGGACATCCCTATATACCCCCATAGATACCAGTAGACTGATAAAAGAGAAAATTGTTATTCTAACCGATTGTATATGGAATTATGATATGTGTTATATTATTGACTCTATAAGTTGTTTTTGTAGACTTTGCTATGGTAAATAGACGGTAAATGATTTTATTTATGATAAATGATTTTGCTTAATTAAGAGCTCCATTAGTTGTTTTTATAATTTCTACCAACCTTCATTTCTGTGTCAGTGAGTAGCGTGATATTCTTACTCGAATAGTGTAGCTCATTCTTTCATTAACCATTTCAGATCAAGATGACCAAGATCCAGAGCTCGATCTACAAGAAGATTGCGAGTAGGACGTTCAGTTTATTTACTTTTAATTTATTTCATTAGTTATTAGTTGTTCTTTTAGAAGGGTTATTCTTGTAAACCCTATTTAGTACTTTTAGTTATTGTGTAAGGAATATAAACCCTAACTATTTATTTCGCTTCTGCACTAAATTTATGATTTATTTTTTAAAAAATTTTCAGGGTCATTACAGTTAGTATTAGAGTCGCGTTTCTCGGAACCATTCCTTACACAAAATCCTTAGGAAACACAAAAAATAATGAATTATCACTCAACCATTCCTTGTGAAATGCAGGTACAGATAGGTGAGGAAAGGAAGATCCTCACTAAACTGAGCAGCCCGGGAGAGTTTATTTTGAGAGGATGTTGGCCGATTATTTGAGATGCTGGAGAGACTCATCACTGCCCAGTAGACCTAGGAGGAAAGGAAGGAGCTACCTGACCCTCCCCCGCTGCCACAGGTTGAGCCACCCCTGCAGTGAAAGAATCCCGAGCCACCCCAATACGACCCTACTCCTTTACAGTACCACCCGGCACCACCATAGTATGATCCCGTGCTCCAGCCACAGTACCACCCGGCACCACCATAGTATAGCCCGGTGCCCCAATCGCATCACCCGACGCCACCACAATACAATTTGATGCCTCCACTGAATGATCCAGTACCACCGCAGTGCCATCCAGTCCATCCTCAGCATAGTCTAGTCCCTCTTCCACAGGACCCAGTTCTTCCCATGATGGACCCAGGCTGCATTGAGAGGTATAAAAGACTAAATCTATCTACTTTTGCAGGGCGATCTTCTTTTGAAGAGATTGAGTACTGGTTAGCTGAGATATAAAAGGTCTTTACGACTCTTGGGGTGACTCCCAAACAGAGGGTCGTACTTGCCACCTACATGATAGTGGGTGAGGCAGGCCACTTGTGACAACTCAAGCAGGCCACCCTGACTATTCCAGTCACTTGGGAATAATTTTTTATGGCCTTCAATGTAGAGTACCTTCCAGAGCATCTCCGACATATGAAGGAAATAGAGTTTATACATATGGTCCAGGGTGACATGACTATATCAGAATATGCTCAAAAGTTCTTAGAGTAGGGCAGGTATTCCCCCGAGAGCATGATGGATGAAGGCAGAAATGTAAGAAGGTTCGAATAGGGTCTCCGTCCTAAAATTAGACAGCAGTTGTACGTGTTCGAGCTCAGTACTTACTCGGTTGTTTTGGCCAAGGCACAGTTAATGGAGAGAAATTTTTGCATTTTCCCTCCAGCAGTGGGGAACCTCAGGCCCTCGGCTCCACATTGCAAACCAGCACCTACTACACCTATTTAATAAAACAAAAGACCTAGGCTAATGACTCAGGCTCCTCCTCATATTTCAATAACAGGACGCGGTAGGACCTGTCAGCACTGTAGCAAGGATCATGGGGACCGACCCTGCTATCGCCTCAACAACACGTGCCGCATATGTGGTAGTGCCCAGTATTATACAAGGGAGTGCCCGAGGAACCAGAACTAGACCATACCTCCTATTTAGGGCAAGACTTACAACCTCACTTAGCAGGATGCAGAAGCCAACCCGGATGTTGTACATGGTACGTACACTATCTGTAACCATCTTGCACATATTTTGATTGATAGTG